CGTGAAATGTCAACTATGTAGTATAGACTGATTTTGGGAAATCTTAATGTCCAATTGAAGTCATATTTCAAATTGCAAAGGATCAATGTACTGTACAGCATACACTTTCCACGGATATGATAGCATTCAAAAGCAGTTGTATGACCAGCATCATCACACGCATTTGAAAATTAAAGTCATGTTTGCTGAGAGGGCTTTGAAAGGGGTGTCTACAAAAGTGGTTGTCACAGTATAATACCTCAAGTACCACGCAGTATACAAGGCGTGCAGAAATGCTGCCTTTTTCTATATTCCATGCCTTTCTGAGAAATTTTTCAACATTTTTCTCAGACCTGCATCAAAACATGCTTGAAATTTGGTTTGATGCAAAGTTCAATAGTTTCAAAAAGACAATTGATCTTCAAAGAGATATATATAGTGCTTCACTGCTGCCGGAAAGAGGTTGAAATCATCATCTTATTCATTCAAAAGAAATGGACCTTCCAAAAGCTGTTTCGTTAATTATATTGTTGAAAAATAAGAAATTGCGATTGGTCTTCTGGAAAAAGAAAGACTTTTAATTGAATTCGTACAGATGCGGAACAAATTGAGCTCAGAGACTCGAACAAGCTATATACTGAAGAGTACAGTACAGCAGTACTTCAGCCAGCCAAAAATAGATAACTATGCCAGAAAACTGATGGTAAGTTTTCGAAGCTGGGTTGGGATGTGAGGAAGAAGAAGAATAAAAAAAAACTTGACCGCATTCCTTTTTTCTTGAAGAAATACCCTTGACCTCAAGGGAGGAAAATCTCGTACGAGCTGAGCACAACATTCCACGATGAAACCCGTTTGGAAATTAATGCCCTGGAAAAAAATAAATTGTCAACTCTCTCGTTTTATTTTTTAAACTGCTGGTAAAATCTCGAGAGTCTCTCTCTCTCTCTCTCTCTCTCTCTCTCTCTCTCCCACGAGAATAATGGAAAATATTTTGGTAATTCAACGGGAGAGAGGTCACCTTATTGTGAGCCCTTCGTTCGTCGTGCTCGTTCTTATTAACCTAATGACCTTCACTGCGTTCCGAACATCGAATTACTATTGGCGTGCCTTTGCTGACTAATAATGGAATTTGCAAATGTCAAAAATGCGTGTCAAATAGATGCCACCTTTGCGAGCAGTCTTTATTTTATTCTCTTTATAAGCATAAACATTTTTATGCTGATATGGATTAAATTAGGCAAGTTAGGATTTATGCATATAAATATGAGCCATGTGTATTTGCCAGATATATATATATATATATATATATATATATATATTTCTGGCGTGTGGGAAACTCAAGTGTTTTTATTGCTGCCCTTGGCAAAAGGACAAAAGTTTGCTTGTAAAATATATGTATATATAGGTAAAGTTTGCTTGTAATATATATATATATATATATTGCAAGCAAACTTTTGTCGGAAAATTTTTTTTCAAGGGCAGCAATAAAAACACTTGAGTTTCCCACACGGCACTTCGCATTTCTATACATATGGTCAATAAAAAGTACGCCAGATCAAAGTTGAATTGATTTTTGCGGGTCAAGAATCAACCACGAGAGATCCATTATTTTATTTGAATGCCGAACAAAGCATCGTCCTTGCGAAATCGACAATAAGGTTATGCAATCTCCGTATAACATTATGCAAGCCATATACAGTATATACGGAGATGGAAAATTGAATTGACAATCCGTGCGTTATTCCCAGCTCGTCGTTTTCGATCCTCGGTCTCGTCCCATCATTTTTTTTTAAATTTTATACCATATGCAATTCCGCCTTTTATGTAGGTCACTCATTTCAACGATTCCCATGATAAAAAAACTAACAATTACCGAGCATATCATTAAACTCGGTACATGAATTCAACGCGCGAAATTTGATGATCACGCAACAGCACTGGAGTGCAGTACTGTGTATGCATAGGCTGATTTAGAAATTGAATAATTTCTGCACATCCACCAGTTTAAAACTGTTGGTTTACAATACGTTCATTCCGCTTTTTCCCCACAAATGCAGCAGCAGGACTGATGGGAAGATACTTTGTTTATTTTATTTTTATTTTTTGGAGAGGCTCTTGGTTTTTTTAAATGTTTTGTTTCTCAGGAATTTTGATTTGGAGATATAATTTTTTTTTCACAGACGGAAATCACACTGGATTTTTTTTTCCTTTTCTCCAGAGGAGGGTAAGTTACCCCGCCGACGGCGAGCAACTGAATGGGAACTTCAATTGGTTGTTGCTCGGCCAAGTCGAACCCAGGAATCAATAGAATTCGATGGACACCCGCGTTTCTTCAGGAGAAACCACCACAAAAAAAATCTGGAAACGTGAAACAAAAGTGTTTCTGATTTTGGTTTGAAGGTTGTGTGTTGTAAATTATAATTCATATAAAGAACCACTCCCGTCAACAAAATTCCCAAAGGGTGAATGGATTTCAAGTAGTTCGAATAAAATGTAATGTTACAGTACACTTTGAATCATCGATGGGAGCTAGGGAAGCAAACCCGTCGTCGCGTTTTTCGATTGTAGCATTAATCTGATGATGAGGTGAAAAAATGAAATCCAATGTAGAAAAAATAATCCTGTGCTTTCATGGATGTTGCTTTCGATTATAATGAATGGAAATCCATCAATAAACTTACTCCGAGAGGAAAGAAGAAGAGTATTTTTCGTAGAAACGACCGGAACTGTCTGCGTCAGGAAAGCTGAACTCTGGAGCAACCGGAATCTTTCTCTCCAACATCATTCAGCTGTCGGAGAAGTCTCATATATAAGTAGGACTTCGTTTGATATTCTTGAACCGGGTGTCGAAAAAAGCGTGATTTTGTTAACTTATCATTTGAATATTAAAATGTGCGTTATTCTCAGAAATCCACTTGGATACTTGAAGGAAATTTACATGATGTGTTGGACAATTTTATAAAGAGCTTTTCTTTCCATTGCAAGAAAAAAAAAAGACGGAAAAATCTGGAACTATATTCCAGAGAAAAAAAACTGCTCTGCGTGAATTGATCGTATTATGTCACGGTACACCCTGTAAATTGGCAAATGTGCAGCAATAAAAGAGAGTAGGGGGGGGGGAGAAATGAGACGAGCATTTTGCTGTACATCAACACATTGCGGTCGTTATAAAGGGAATGTTTATAAATTACCTGGTGTTTTTTCTATATACTGCACTGGACTGTACTGACCACACACACTCACGCACAGCCCATGTGCTCGATTGAGCCGATTGGCGGTCACGAAAACATCGTTTCTCGCTTCCATCAATTGGCAATGACTTCGATTTCCCAGCGGTGATACGCTCACTGCCCCGAGGCGCTGCTCGCAGAACACTAGAGAGTACCAGAAAAAAGAAAGAAGAAAAAAAACTATAGCGTGAGTATTAATTGCTGAACATTAACTTTTATGCACTTTCTGCGACCCACTTGTGCTTCCGAAACACAACTGAGAATCATTAGTGGTTATTTCGCTATACATTAATTCAAACAACATATCTTTCAGTGTAATATCACATCGTGGTTCCTTCACTTTGCTGGTCTTTGAGAGAGGCATTAAAGAAATTGAGAATCCGAAAAAAATCTAAAAACCGGTAAATTATAAATATCTCGAACAGACGAATAAGGCGGGGCAATGAAACGAGCATGCAAAAATGGAGCGTCTTCCTGCTCATAAATACTACATAAACTTATCGATGTCCGATTTCTATCCTTGAAATACCTTTCTGGTGAAAAACTGTAAACACAAATAAGATCCTTCTCAGCATATATGCTCTTTCCCTGCGCTGTCAAGAACATTCTGCACCTCGAGCGGAGAATTGTATGCCCACTCTTGCTTCTTTTTCGAAATATATTTGTCAAACACTTGACAGGAATCCTCTAACTTTTAATGCCGTAATAATTCGAAGCACAGCTGGAGCTGATTCTCAAGAGTATTATTTTTTTTCTTCTTATCTCTGAATAAGTGGAACTTGCTGCTCTTTTGGTTCAAGAGTGGCTCTTATTGATGAACTCATTCATCAGTGTATAGACGGCCAACATGCGTCAAAGGAAGCCTTCCGGTTTCACAATACTGTTCGTAACCTGTCCTGTGCGCAATTATCGGTTCGCAGGAGGGGGAGGGGGGGGGGATTTGGGCTCATCTTTTCCTTGAACTGATAATGAAAACAGCAAATAACTCATGAGGGGAATTTTCAATCGCATCTCTAAATCTTATTGATAACCTGCTGCCTAAAAAATAGAACGCATTCAGCATATCACTATTATAAGCATAGTTGACTCGGCCTAACGTCTAAAACTCTAAATCATTACAGTTCGCACAGGTACAGTACTTGCAATCTCGAGCAAAAACCAAAGTCTGTAAGAAAATTTCCAGTTCATGCATTCAAAAAATAAAATAAAATGAACTTGATCCCTATCCTTATTACCACCGAGCTTTCGTACTTTGGAAGGAAAACGGCATTCTTCATTTTCGTCTAAGGCGTGAAAAGCAAGCTTTTTTTTCTGGCTTGACCATGAATCCATTTTTGAAAGACAATCTTTCCTGGTATGTTGCCAGCACTTTGAAAAATGCACTCGGGTTTCTCTGAGAAAAAAGAAGTTTTCTTTACCTGATACCATTTGTATACGTTTGTCGACACGCAATATTACTAGCTTGTTGCATGATGAAGCGTGATGTAGGACATGGTGCAACCTATGCACCAGCAAAATGAAAGCAAAAACGAGCGCATATTTCCAAAAAACCTGATGCAACGAGTTTTGAAACTCACGAAGAACTGCAAAAAAGCCAATGTTCACGTCAGAGGAGCGAATCCGAAAGGCACTATCAAAAGTGAAGTTTCTATGAATTATTGAAAATACAGTAATAACGCAGACTCGTAACATTTTTTATTAATTTCAGTTTCTCATCATCGAATAAATAAGTACAGAAAGTTGACCGTCCTTGTGTGCTTTCCTCTGTGATCTCTGGAATGCTTTTGAATAATGTCTGCTTCATCTGTGAACCCAGAAGATATCCAACTTGAAGACTTCGAAAAGTGCTTGTCAGAAATAAAAGAAAAATGTAACAAATACAAGGAGCCAGCACATATATGTAACACCATAAAAATCCATTGAGTTCTAAAACAAACACTTCACTGCAATAATACTGAAAAATGAATCACAATAAATAAATACATTAAATGCATTAAAAGACCCATGCATCATGGTTGAATGAAATGAATCTACCAAAAATAATTACTGTACTTTATTACGCGACCTTTTAGTCGAAGGAATGAATACTCTACTTATAATATTTAAAAAGAAATGCTGTTCGCAACTTAGTCAACTGGAAATGTCACATTCTTGAAAATGTGGACTGGCGACGTTCATGAAAGCAATGCAATGAAAATATACTTATTATTGCAGCGAATATACTGTCACACGTTTGTTCAGATGCTTGTCATTCCATCTGCATGATGAAAGTTTGGTCCTGCATCGGCAGGGAAATTTGAACAGAATAAGGGGTTTCCGATTTCCGATGATCACATATTCACGACGTATGCTCACCTGATTCATCCAATAATGAAAGTCCACCAATAATGAAAACCCAATCTGTATATACACTGAAGTGCTTAGTGCGAATAGTGCTCATGTCCTTGAAAAATAGAATCACGACACGTTCGTGCGGTGGATTGAAAAAGGAGGAGGAGGAGGAGGAAAAGAAAAAGAAAAGCGAGGAAAAGTGGTCGAGATTAATCCTTGTGCGTCGGAGTTTCCTATATAGCTCTCGAGTTTGGATCACGAACACGAGGAATAAGAATCTTCTCACGACTCATCGCATCTTCGGGACCCGATGGGCGTGTTTTCTCTCAAAAACCCTCAACGACCGAGGGTCACTACTAAACTTATTATACTGTACTGCACTCTATGATATACAGCACAGTAGCAAAGCGCTATTTAGTCTATATTTCCAGCAAGTTAGCTACATCAGTAGTAAATTAGTTTTCTAGTAGAGTATTGTGTTGACGAGGAAGTGACATACATAATGCATCTCTAATTCAAAAAGGAAGTACAGTAATTTTTTTTTTCTTCCCGTTTAGGGCGGAAATTAAAATTGAATTGCACATACATTCATACATACATGCTGTCTGCATTACCTGAAAAAAAGGAGCTGAAATGAACTTTTATTTACAATAACTACAGTACAGTATAGTGGCCCGCTCTTCATCATCCGATCTAAAACTCGAGTGTCTGCCATGATGGGCAAACCATCCAAGAATTTCACAACAATAACGCAGAAATGTGAAGAGTTTCGCATCCTTCCTTTTTCAAACCTTGGAACAATAAGGCGCTCATGGATGAGCAACCATTGCAAGTTGAATGCGTGTATACACCAGTACAGTACTGTACTTTCTGGAATGGTATTCCTTTACAATCGTGCTGATTCGAACTCCGTTGTCTCGCACGTGAGGCCCCATGTGTAGAGGGTGTGAAGTATGGGGCATGAAAATGCAATTAGAAAAGCTATAAATTATCGTCTTTCAATGTGGTCTTTCTTTCGTTCAAACTATAACGTCAAGCTGGTATCTTGGAAACAAATTGTGGAGAAATCTTTCAGTCTGTACGATGTATTACTGCTATATACCGATGGTATGTCTAAACAGAAAACAAACGACTTTCAATATGATGATAAGAGCTATACTGCATTGAAAAGTTCTAACACGCTGTTGCAAACAAATATTGACAATCTTCTTAGAAACATGAAAAATCGAGTTTCCACGCCTCTTGCTGCTGTTCGGCAATAATATCTGAGAAATTATAGTAGATTAAAAAATTAATCTAAAAAACCACGTTTTCAAAAAACAAAAAATAACCTTAAACATGGTGTGCATCTATTTCATTTGTATTTCACTTCTTCTCAACAATCTCCATGCGCACCACGTTTAAGGTTATTTTTTGCTTTTTGAAAACGTGGTTTTTTAGATTAATTTTTTAATCTACTATAATTATTTTATTCTTTTTAAAAAATATTCTTAAAATTTATTTTTTCACAAAAGATTGCATTGTCATCAGTTTCTAGGCTATCCTGAAAGTTTCAGCTTGATAGCTAGTCGGGAAGTGAGTGAAATTTGAGTTTCAAAATTTGATCCGGACAAACAAACAGACAAGAAAGTGAGTTAATAAAAACGTGTTAATTAATTAGAAAAAAAAAATGTTCCAGGGGGTGGGATTGAACTTGGACCTCTGCAACCAATTCAGTTCACCATGGGTTTTTTTCTTGGGGCCAAGGAAAACCTGCTCAAAGTTTTATTATAGAAATCTACTATAATTATTTTATTCTTTTTAAAAAATATTCTTAAAATTAATTTTTTCACATAAGATTGCATTGTCATCAGTTTCTAGGCTATCCTGAAAGTTTCAGCTTGATAGCTAGTCAGGAAGTGAGTGAAATTTGAGTTTCAAAATTTGATCCGGACAAACAGACAGACAAGAAAGTGAGTTCATAAAAACGTGGTAATAAAAATTGCAGACAACAGCCAACACGATCAAGGTCGACTTTCTCATCGTGGTTCCACCGGATGTAATTTTCTCGTGACATCATGTTGCGTCACCGGAATGAAGAACAGACTAATAATTCCGACAGAATTCCCCTCCATGAATTCAAAGCACACCGAAGCCAATACAGTACTGTATGTCACTCACGAATCAGTGAGGAATAGAGTTAATTATGGAAATTATCCTGCTTTGATGATTTATTCTGGACTTATATTACTGTGCATGAACATCGAGCCCGTTCACTATTGTAGAAGGAAGTAGAGCGACACCTATGAAGTAAAAAACTCAACGCCTAAAACGTTTTCCTACCTTTTTTACTACAGATGCTCATGCCAACAGGCGGAAAACTACGAGGTGCGTCCCGTTAGTCCGTTACTCATTTCGTGAGTACAGTATTTCCTAATTTATTTAGAAAAAGGCTGAATAATTTTTCATGTTTTTATTTTTCTCTAAAATTGGGCATACTTTTCTTCCGGAGAACTAGCCAGGATCAAGGAAGACTCAAAGGACGCATTTTTAAACTCTAATGAGCAACAGTGGATAGATAATGCGGTTTAATCACCATCTAATTAGTGAAAAAGTTGAAACTGTCCTCGCCTGGAAGTGAAGAATTGAACCAAGAAGAAAATGACCTCTCCTGAGGATTACACAATCTCGAGGAAAGTGTGATAAACCGGTTGCGGAAGTGGTCATCAGTTTTATTTTCCCAGCAAGCACCAGCACTTCCCATATCTTCTCAAACCGTCACGCTTCATTTATTCTTCCGCAAAACGCCGCCATTTTGAGTTATTCAGTTTTTCCACACAAAAATCACATTCCCTTCTTTTCAATCGTACATTTGTCCCGTTTTGAATTCCATGAGATTGAGTATGGGTGCATATGACTGACATTGGAGAGAAATCCACGAATCCCCCCCCCCCCTTTTTGTAATTTATATTTGTCAGGTACATTACGAACAGAAAGGAAAAGTTGAGGAGTTAGCAAGAAAAATGAGTCGAGCATGACAAGAACTTGACACGAGACGAGACTAGCTTGTAGAAAGATCGCAGTATAGTTTGTTTAAAGGCGAGAAGAAGAGAAAATAATGTTTTAATCATATAATTTTTTTTTTGGCCTCGTTGTCCAAAACGCGTGTCGATGAGGTTACGTCAGCATGATTCTTCGTCACCGTTCCGCTCATTGTCCTCCTCGCTCTGTGTTTTTTATTTCCTTTTTATTTCTACTTTCAATATATAGGAAGAAGAAGCAAAAGTTATTTCTTTCCTTTTTTCGGGTCATTATGACATCCGAGCAGATTTTTATTTGCTTTCCATTCCTGACGAGATTGTTTTCCGGGCTCTGGAGATTTTCCCCAGAGATTTCTTTCGAGTCGACTCGAGAGTCCGCACTTTTTTCCTTCAATTTCCACCGTCTTCTTTCGTTTTCTTTTTTTTTTTCTTTCTTCTTTCGAGTAATTAGATGGCAGAAATTGGACGAGGCCCTTTTTTGGTATAAAATCCCTCATGAAGTTCGGTTCAAGTCACAGTTTGCGTCGAAACGACCAGCTTTGTGCTAAGCATCCAGCTCGTGTCTGTCTGTTTTTTTTTTCTCGCGAAATAAAATTGTTTCTCTCAATTTGTGAAAGGTGAAAGAGAGAACGTGAAGCGTTTACGAGGAAATGGTTGTGTTTTGCTTGAAAGGAAATTTTCCTGAGAAAGTGAGTGAATCGTGTGAATTATTTATTGTTACACTGATTACGAGGCTGATTCAAACCTATATACTTGCGCAAAAACTTCCCTTAATAAGCAATCCAAAAGGAATGATTGGCATCATCAGCATCGCATTTTTATTTTATTTTTCGTCTTGTATATATAGCGATAAGCAGATGCGATTTTTGAAAGTGCGAGATTCGTTTTTTTTAGCTGATTTTAGAAATGACTTACACTATCCCAGCTATATCACTAAATACTTTTTTTCGTAGAATTGTTCACAGCACTCGCTTATTTTGATTTGGTTATTTATTTTTCCAAAGATGAAAATCTGCCACTTGCTCGTTGCGATTTGTCTCTCATCCTCAACACTGACTCACTCAATGCCTCCCAAGAGCAACATTCGTTCTCCTGCACCAACTCACCACGAAAGAAGCCAGGATCCGTGGACGTACTTTGATGCGATTTCCTCAGAAGCCTCCTCCTCTTCCAAAGGTTCATTTTTTTGTTTTAAACATACCCCTTCCAAGGTTCTCTTCAATTGGTAAATTTTCCCAATTAAGAGTCTTCCGATTGTTAAGCAATATATTGTTGATGTATTTTATGAACATTTAAGAAAGCGAAATCAGAATGTAAAATGAAGTAAATTGTGCCGTATATTTCCGAGAACTTCAAAAAGGAATTCCGGGGCTGGTGATGGGAAAGTCTTCCAGTTCATGTCGTGACCCTGATGCATTTCTTCGGAAAAAAAAAACCATCATAATTAACGACACTTCTAAAGTATTTTCAAACGTGTTGAGGCGGCACACTTGAGTAAAATTGCTGAACCGTAGTGACTTTCGGGAAATCGTTTAGTACATGTATTTACAATAGTTGTCTGTCTCCCTAAAATATATACGTACAGTATAGTGAAACAAAATCTTGTTTACACCTTTCCTATTATTTCCGGGTCTCGAATCGCTACACAGAAACGGACGGCGTGTTGGCAATCAGCGCTGACGACGTGAGCCCGACGATCCCCGTGTCGGGTCGTCAGGGCAACTACAACGAAGACGACGACGACGACGAGCGTCGACGGCCGAACAACGATTACAGCTTCGACGGCGACGACGACAGGTACAACGAAGGCGGGGACCGAGACGTCGACGACGACGAACGTCGCTTCAACTTTGACCCTTTCTTCGACGGTGCGTATAGTTATTGATTCAATACCAGGAGTTTTATATTTCAAATTTTCCAGCACTTTTTTTTTCGGTATGGCCCAAATTCTTCAGCTTGACTTTTTGTTGCCATCATGAAAATGATGCATCTGCTAATCAGAAGAATCATGATTTAATTTATCTTTAAAGAAAATACGGTATGCGCTAAATTCCTTTTTTTACTCCAAAAAAAAATTTACAGTTTTAGATCTTCTGCGTGTAAATCGATAAAAATTACACTGAATATTCAATAATGAACTCAAGAATGAAACCTTTCTTTGCTTATTTTATGGGAAAAGTTGGTATGAAGAACAAATACTGTACAAATATATAAATGGTGGACCTCACGCTGTATCCTGGCTATACAGTAAAGTACAGTACAATAATGACGGTAATAATGCACGGATTTCCTTGATGAAAAGTAGACAGGGGTCAACGAGATGGCAGCAACAACAACAATAACAACAACAACAACAACAACAACAACAATGATAACGAAAACGGTCAGCAGGATGAATTTGGCAGCTTTTACGACGCAGCAGAAGAAGGACGCGACACCGACGGCGAGGGCGACAGGGAGTACGAAGACTCCCCGTCCGACGGTGACGACAATAACAATCGACGGTCTTTGGCCAAACGCGCCTCCACCATCCACGCGTTGTACGTGCGACACGGAAAAGCACCAGCAGCACCTGGTATAGGTTTCTTGTTTTCACATACGAGTGCAACAAGTACTGCTGCTCAGTATACAAATGTCACTTGAGAGTATAGGAGGTGTTGCAATTTTCATTTCGAAAATTGTTGTTCGCACAAAAAAAAAAAAATCAGGGCGCTTCAATCACGCAAGCGATTTAAATCCAATTGCAAAATATATGCTAGGATATGGAATGTTGAATGATAAGTGCACTGATTAAAATGCCTGAAAAATCAGAAACTGCTTTCAATAAGTTGTGTAGTCTCACCCAATCCAGTGCCAATAAGGCGGTAATCTTGAAATCGTTCCCAATAAACGTTCATTCCCGTTGAAATAGCTGTTTCAATTGAAATACAGTGAGAACCCGAGATGCGGACGTAATTGGTGCATCAATAGTGTCCCTAAGTCGAAATGTCCCCAAGTCGAGTCTCATTTTCCCTTAGACTTACATTATATAATTTTTAATTGGTGTTTCATGTACAAAATGGCATTTTCTGTAAAAATAAAATTCAAGTGAAAAAGAGAGAATGAATTCCCCCTATACTGGAGGTAATTATTTTAAATTAGCTAAATAGATGGTAAATTGGGGAGAGAAATGCCCAAGAACTTTTCTTACATTAATTTTAGGGTTGGAAACATCTGTTTCTTGTAATTTTGCATGAAATTTAATTGCAATTTTATCAAAAAATGTCCCTATGTCGAGTCAACGTCCTCATATTGGGACATTTTTGTGATTTTTTAATGGTAAAATAAGTGTCCCTAGGTCGAATCGTCCGCAGGTCGAGGCGTCCGCATGTGGGGGTCTCACTGTATAACACGAAGAGGATGTATTTTTCAAGAGGGCATCTTTAAAATTCAAAACGGTGTACCCCTTATTCCCAGCAGTACCAAAGAGCTCCTGAAAAACAATTATTGAAATCTTATAATTTATCCTATAAACATATTTTACTGTACGTACTTCGTACACATTTATATATATCGATCCAAAATTGCTTTGGAATGAATCATTGAAATCGAAAGCGGTCTTGTTTCCGCAGCACGTGTGAAAACAATCGAAAGACGATCGGGTGTCGAAACTGCGGCGTCCATTCCCGTCGAGACTGGTGTTGATTATTCGAACCAACAACGCGTGAATGTGAAAAGGTACATCGAAGAAGAGCACGAAGACGATTACCCTTCTACGCAAACCACTTCTGTTCACGACAGCTACCAAGAGAGCAAAAAGGTGAGTCCATTTGCCCAAAAATTTGCGAATAAATTCTGCTAGATACGAATACACCAGTTCTTGTTGTAAAACATCCAAGTCTTCCGAAAAAAGATATAGCTATGTGCTGCTGTCGAAAGCACAAAAAAATAAGACCGCATTTCAAACCTCATCGCATAAATTGTGCTCTGATGAGGAATGAGCAATAAGAAACGACGTTGAAACCATCAAAAAATCAGCAATTTAAAAAACAAAAGGTTTACTGAGTCATTTTTCTTTTAATAAAAACCTTACTTAAAAACTTCTGATAGGTAAAAGAATTCATAAAACTCAATTGATATGTGTTCCGTTGTTTGTTGTTTTTGTTTTTTTTAGCAACCGTATCACTTCCAATACTACGTGAAGGACGACTACACTCACAACGACTTCGGGCAGCACGAAAAGAGCGACGGAGACACTGTGCACGGGTCATACAAGGTCGCCCTGCCCGACGGCAGAACCCAGATCGTGACCTACACCGCAGACCCGTACCACGGGTTCCAGGCCAATGTTCGCTACGAAGGCACTGCTCATCACCCTCCACCGAAATACTACAAGGAAAATAGCAATCATTGAAAAATGAGCACTCATGCATCACTCATTCCTTCAAAAACAAGAAGAGGATAAAACAAAGGAACTGTACCCTGTTTTGTTGTACTGCTTGACCATCCATTCGTATAAGAACCTGTTGAACGCTTCTTTTTTTTTTTCATGCTGTAGCCGGTCGTTGTTTACTGTTGGCCGGGAATACACATGCTTTTTTTCGTCTATATGAATCATCATCGTCATCCCATCCCAGTAGTCTACTGAAGACATACTTTTAATAGTGTATGCACGGCAGAGTTTCTTTTTCGTCATCCAGCAATGATTTAACGACAAACGTCATCAGGGAATAATATTCCATTTATTTTTCTACAACTATATATATATATATCGCTTGTGTTCTTTCAAAGCATTCCGTGATGGCTAGAATTAATATCGAAAGTCGCTTCTCGTTTTCAAGATTTTCTTGCTAGAGATTACGTCAGGCACTTGCGCGTTCAATGAGCCGTGAAAAAAGGAGTCATTTCCCTCCGTTTGTCATTTGATTTCTGTTGAGTGAAAGTTAGACATATTATGATTGCTATTCATCGTGATGCTTTGAAAATTGAAAAATTACGTTGCCCAGCCTACTTCATCGTTGTTTTGATTTTTCTCAAAAAATATCCATGTTTTTATTATTGTCATCAGTGGTGCTTTGATGAAAAGAGAGGCTGAATATCAACTTTCTTCTGTCCTTTTTTTATGCGAAATATTTCGAAATTAAAGACAAATATCCCTGCGAGGCAACAACTGCGAGGAAAAATATTCACAGCGGCTCGACCTAAGTTAACCTCTGATGGGGTAATAATATCCAACAGCAAATGACCTTACTGGGACCTGAAAACTACAGTATTCCCAATTTTTGTAACCCATGTGACCTAGCAGAGACTACAACAACTGCTATAGGAACAATTCAGGGACCAGAACCTCATTCTGTTTCTTTTTCTCGACCAATAAACGGAAAACGCGAAAGATTCGGTTAAATGCACACACATCATGAATCATCGTCGTGCGACGAAGTCTCGGGAGAGAAAACGATTCGAATCGACCCAGCGAGGGTGAAAAACAGTGTCAAGGGTGGGTGGGAAAAAAAGAGAAACCCATGTCCTTGAATGACAACAACAAAAAACAGCAAAAAAAAGCAGGGAAGGAGATGATATCAAGAATTACGTCACTCGTCGTCATCATTCGCCGGCTGCCGGAAAACGAAGAAGAAGACGACGACGACGACGACGGCGATCAAAGACGATTGTCTTAACGACGCGTCGCGTCGGCAAGCAAGAATTTAATTTCATCGTCTTTGACTTGACTAGACCGAAAAGTCTTCCATAATCAGCTCCAGAAGCACTTCAGGAAAGAAACAATCAACATAGACAATCAGCAAAAAGCAATCATCAATGAGTTTCTGTGGTCCTGATTCGACGAGATTCAATATCATCACATTACTTATTATTAACATGGAAACTTGTGAAGAAGAAGTGACACCTATTTGAATTTCGTGCTTTTGCGTAGTATTCCGGAATTTTCATTCACATGTGCACACATTTCTACCATTGCATTGAGGTTTCAAACAGAAACAAAATTGCATGTATATATTTGGACGACTATAAAAGGAAAGACTTACAAGGAAAAGGACGAATTCGAGGAAACTTTTGGCAACTAATTTCATCTATCATAATGGCGGTACTCCAGTCATAATTGAAGTTACATTAAAAACTGTGCAAATCTTTATTCAAAGGAATGATTATAGTCCAATGATTCAGTATCCTTCATCGAATATTTTCAGTTGAAAGCTGGGCAATTTTTTGATACACCACACACAGCAGAGTTTCTCGAAATGATTTCAATTAGATTGACTGAAAAAACGAAGCGCTGCTATTATGTCTTGGGTTTTGCTTCAAATATACATGGGACACTGATTTTTCCTGGAATGCGTAAAGCTGAATTTCCTACCCGTTTGCCACAAGTCACAACAGTAGCAACAACAAAAACAAAAAGCAAAAAAATTAACAATTGATGACCGTGCAAAGTGTTGGTTAATTTCCTCGCCGACGCGGAGAAATCTTCGACTTTGACTCAGCACACGCTTTTGCGACGACGCGTCACTCAATTGCTGTCGAGAATGCGTGCGTGTTTTTTTCTCTTCTTCTTCTCTCCCTTTTCCTTCGTGCTGTGCTGAACACGTTTCGTCCAAGTAAATCCACTCGGGGATTTCAACCCAAGGTACTGATTTGACACGGGGACAGCAACTGGGTCAATTTGTTCCCACGTCGACAGCGTTGACGTGCAACGGAGTGCCACTGCTTGCTTGCTTGCTGGTCTCTCTCAAATCCCAGCACGAAAATATTTCCCTGCTTGCTATGCTGCTTTCATCTCTGCAGCAGAGAAAGTATCACTTGACTGTGCAAAAGTTAATAAAACCTCTTTGTTGCATGAAATAAAAACAAATATAGAAGGAAATATGAATTCACCGGCCCTCTCTTTTTTTTCTGCTGGTTTTGGAGCCAAAATTCCGACGTGATTTGCGTTGGTTTCCGCGGCTCATTGCGGAAAGTCAAGCGAACGCTTTGGCTTCGCTTAAACTGTTGTGAAGGCAGATTTGTTTGCGAAGAAGTTCGCATCAATTGTTACCTGCCGTACTTTTGCAACCGTATACACGTGTATATATTCTCACAGCACGAATAAGTAGGTCGTATATATGTTGCCAGCAGCAGCAGCGACTAAATGTACAGTATATACTCGAAATAGAACTCGATAGAATTTCAGCCTCATTCCTTTACTCTTTTTTTTTTTTTTTTTTTTGCACCATCAGGAAACAAACGGAAGATTGAAATTTCAGCCTCTTTCCTTTCCCCTTTTTTTTTTTTTTTTTTTTTGCACCATCAGGAAACAAACGGAAGATTGTTGCCACAGGTTTTTATCCCCATTATGTTGGCCCCGGTCAGGAATAATTGATAGAATGCCGTTGTTCCGGATTTTTCGCGAGTATAAACGCCGACGACGACGACGAGAGATTTCGACTTATTTGCTATATATATATATATATATATATATATATAGGGGATGATGTTCGCGGACCGTATTATTTATGCGTATTTATTTATTTTTCTTCTTCTTCTATACTGTATATAGGGATCCAGAACACCCACGGGGGTAGTAAAGGAGAAAAGAAAGAAAAAATGGTAACCATGAACCCCAGCAGCAGCAGCAGCATTGGTACGACGAGAAGTCGGCAAAAAATAACCTAGTTTTTCGCCGGCGTTTTTTTGTGCGGCCCTTTTTCGTTTATTGCTTTTCATCGCGGCGTCATCGGTCATTCCGCGACGCAATCCGCTCGAGGAACAAACTCTTGTGTCCCCGGCACTTAGTCAAACTCGACTCGATTCGAAGCCGAGGAAGGAAAGGAGTCGACGGAAAAATTAGGGTCTTCTTCTTCTTCTTCTTCTTGTGCTTTCCTGCTGCTCAGGGTATGACATTCAGTGCCACTTTACCAGCCCGGATATAGTCTGTGATGATCAACTTTCCTTTTTATTTCGTCGTCGTCGATCCGGTTTCAAACTCGTACCCCACGTATACTGTATATATAACCCAGGGATGCTGTTTTTTTTTTTTTTTTTACACGCATTATTGTCTTCGTTTTGCGGGCAGAAAACGGCTGGTGGCTGATAAGCTGCAAAAGACAGGACATTGGCCTAGAAAAAGAATGATAAAAAATAAAAATAAAAAAAGAGTGAGGAAACAAATAGGTGGAAACCGAGCCCCTTTTTTCCCCCCACCCATCCGATCAAAGAAACGCGTGGAGAAACAAGGCGAAGGATCTTAACCGGCTAAGCGCTGATTGTCGTCGCGGACCACCACGGAAAACTGCTTCTCGCTGTGCTGTGTCGCGTCAAAAAAAAAAATGAGGAGGGTGATACCGTGGTGGCCGGGGAAATCGAGGGAATATCCTATATATATTATACAGTAAAAAAGTATTGTATACTGTATACAAGGATGAGTACATTTTCTCCACTTACTATTGTTGTTCAATAATTGTTATGCATATTCGTTTCTTCGGGGCTGTGAATCGTGATCTATAGACCTGGGCATGTTGACATTTATTGTATATCATTTAAAATATATTTTTTGACTTCGACGCAGTTATTTCAATTCAACGTCACGTGTGTGCCGTGGATTTCCTTTGATTTATTTTGTTTCTTAATCACCCTTTGCTGATGTGTTGCGGATTTCAACCTCGTCTGAGTTTTTATTTAAAAAAAATAGATATTGATTTATATTTTTGGTATTTTGTGTGAAAAAAAGAGCTCAGTTGATTCCGCAGGAGAAGTTTTAAGCATTACGAAAGGAGAAATAAAAATAAATTAACCTACAAGAATAAATTCAACTGTGTTTTTTTTGGCAGCTCAGTGACTTGGAAGCCAGCCCTGATTTGATTTTTGTACCTTAGAACTGAATCTGTGTTCTGTTGAAATGACTCATGTTTGAATCCCAATTAATATTGAATTTTCTACTGCATGGAGACTAATATCACAGTATGAGATGATTTTGAATCAAATACATCAGGTGGGCTCCCTCTGCAAAAATCACGTTCATTGCGACTTTTTCTCTGCATGAAGAATGTGCTTCCGTCTCATTGGGTGATCTCTCCAAGTTATAAGGATTATTCATGATGAAATTCTCTCTACTGTTGTACACTACACTTTTTTTTGGTCCCATGAATTTTTTGTAGAGATAAAGAGTCCACATGTATGCTCAAAACTCGTTTTTTTTTATTTTGGTTGCTGTGTCTTATGTTTGCCTTTAAAATTGTGAAAATTTGTATCCGTTAAATTTATTTTGAAGGTGCAGAGAGGGTTTCATCATTGGTGAGTGCATCAACTCACAATAAGTGCTCACCATCATATCATATATACTGTCTTTATAGACGCCAGAGGGCAGGCAGTCTGGAAAAAAATGCCCGCAGACACAATCCCTTGAACAGATTTCCTCAAGGA